ATCTTAACTCGAATTAAAAACTTCAATCAGCGAATTAAACGGGCTCTAAGCTCCTTGAGCTGTATATTCGTTATGTACCCACGTAAATTAAAAAGTGCATTGAAATTTAGATCACGAATACCTGTTGACAATGAATATTCTTCTAACAATGATTTCGCTCAACAATCATCTAACTACGAATTATCTCTTACATATGACCCAAAAAGAAAAAAGGCAAAAAGTAGATAAGAGAATTTAGAGTACTCACACGCCCACAACATCAGAGCTATATTTTTTCAGGGAAAATTCACTATATTGGTGGAAATTATTTGTGCTCATACGTTTTTTCTTTTTTCAACTTTTTATCATTTGGTAGCTGCCATTTCTTTTTATGTCTCGTGTTGTTTTTCCATTATCCAATAACTCAAAAATGTATAGATTAGTTTAGTTTGTTGATTCGAGTTTTTAATTCGAGTTGATATATAATTTTATATGAGAGTCTTTTATTGTAGCAAAAAAGTTAGATATGACTGTTTTTGAGAGCTTTTTACTATAACAAAACTCAAATTCTAAACTTAAATCAGTGAAATGAACAAGAGAGTCCATTTAGTTCGTTAATTCGAGTTGAGATGTGACTTTATGTGAGTACTTTTTACTGTAACAAAAAATTAAATATAATTATTTATGAGAGCTTTTTACTGTAATAAAACTTGAATCGGTAAAATAAACAGAACCTAATAGTGACAAGGGTATGGTTAATGGTTATACAAGGGAAACAAAAAGGTATAATTCCAAAGGGTGCGTTTGGAGTAAAGATTTGTGACATGATTCGAATCAAGATTCGTGGCCTGTTACAATATTTTCTCTAAAAAATGCACACATAAATCAAAAATAATTTTAAATCATGATTATAAATCTATGAACTACCTCGTTTATTTTACCGATTCGAGTTTTTAGTTTTAGGTTTCTACAGTAAAAAACTCTCATAAAATGTCACATTTAACTTTTTATGTTACAGTGAAAAGCTCTAAAAAAATATCACATCTCAATTCAAATTAAAAACTCAAATTCGTGAAGTGAACGAGACCTAAACGTCTCAATTATTTTGATAAAGCTTTTTCTTTTTTAAAATTTTTTTAATATTTTTGCATGAAATGAACTATAATACAATTAAACAGTGGATTAGAAATACACCAATACAGCAGGCAGCGCCCACAATATAAGCCTTCCTCTCACTCAATCTCTCTCTCTCTCTCTCCAAAACAAAACCGCTTTTCAAACAGCTATTACTTCAAACGTCAGACATCATTCTCGTTTTTTGTGGGGGGTTTGACTGGCGGGCCCCACTCATATTATGTATTGTATTGAACCAATCCTCTGAGAGAGTGTGAGAGGACGTTCTCTTTAATTTGCACGAACACCTCTCAACGTCATTGTCTTGTTTACTTACACTTATATAGAGAGGCTATATAAATACATCTATACATACACATTATTCACGAGCTGCTGGTTTTGCATTTCCCAATTGACGCTCTTTCATGTTAACCAGTGGGTGGACTAGTACACTCCAATAAGTGAATCCATTTCAGCTAAAAAAAAAAAATACGGTTCATTTAATCGATTTAAATTTTATTATAGTAAAAAAATTTTAAAAATAATCACATTTAATTTTTTTTATTACAATAAATTTTTTTTATAAATAATCACATTTAATTTTTTTATTATAGTAAAAAATTTTCACATAAAATTACATATCAATTTAAATTAAAAACTCAAATAAGCGAACTAAACGGGCCGTACATATTGCAATATTCTTGTTTCATTTCCTTATGATGAATATTAAGGGACTATAATTAATGCTAGCATCACTTTTTCTGTTACTTTCTTAATTCATTGTTTTGACGTATAAAGTTTATTATCTTATTTTCTGTCTAAATAATAATATATCATATTAACAAGGTATCAAACGTGAATGAATAGAGTGACTTTATAAATGATGTAAACATTTTTCATTAAGGGACACATCAGATGCCACTCCTAGCGAGTGATAATAAAGAAATAAACGAGTCATACAGATTTTTCTATTGCATACATATGTCTCACTTTATAAGATGAATATTGTAATTTAAATAAGCATAATTGTTTATATATGATAACAATATTGGTAAGTTAATTATGTGGTCGGTGTTAAGATCATAGATAACTTTTTATAGAAATAATTTTTATGTACTGTTCTCTAGTATTATCACCACTTAACAGCATTATTTGATTGGAGCAAATAATGTGCTAATTCTGATTCGATAGCATTGTTTGTCTCATATTGTAAATATGTGAACAGTGACTTTGGACTCACCAAAATTTGGAAAAGAAAAGATGATAATTTCAGCTAACCAACTCTTTGATAAACGCTAAAGATCACTATTTTTAAAGCATGATGTAGTACCAAATTAATGTGTCATTAATACTAAATTTTAGTTTTAGAGTAGAAAAATTACTCTCTAATAAATTCCTATTTTTTATATGTGCTAAATTGACATATACATTATATTTAGTGCCATTGGCATATGACAAATTGTTCAAAATAAAAGGGTAAAAAACCTCAATCAAACAATACCCAATAATTACAAAGAACTATGAGATATATAATGCATGTTTAGTTCGCTGACTTAAGTTGAGATGTGACTTTATGTAAGAATTTTTTACTATGATAAAAAAGTTAAATATAACTGTTTTTTAGAGCTTTTTACTGTAATAAAAAGGTTAAATGTAACTGTTTCTGAGAATTTTTACTGTAATAAAACTTAAATTTTAAACTCGAATCAGTGAAATAAACAAGATCATAATAATCCCACAGGGAAAAACAAGACTTCTTCATTTCGAAGAAAACCACTAGTTATTACCCAATGGGGAAAACCCTTTGCACTATGAACAAAGAGAAAATTTGGTGTCCTCCTAACCAAAGTTTTGGCAATACAAAGAGAAGAAAATTCCAGAGCATTGAACCACCAATGAGAGAAGCAAGAATTTGCCACCCGATTACCTTCCCAAAAAATGTGCGTTGTAAATGTGAACAAATCATGAATAAACAATAATTTAACTTGAACATCAGATTAAGCAGCAAATCAACCACATAAGTTGAGTCACGCTCGAATCATAAGAAATCCCAATTACAAACCCTAGCAAAATTTATTGCAGGTGAATTAATTCTCATGAACTGGTACTTTTAGAAGCTTTTACGAAATTAGAATTTAATTCTTTTGAAATTTGCTTTCATAATAAACATAAGCGAGAAACTTAACACAATGTGGATTTTATTATCCAATTCATTGAAAAATCACCGGTCAATCGCACACTGCTTTTTTACCGATTCGAGTTTACTATAGTAAAAAGTTTTAAAAAATAGTCACATTTAATTTTTTTACTACAATAAAAAGCTCTCACATAAAGTCACATTTCAACTCAAATCAGCGAACTAAATGGATATCAAGTACGGATTTATAACGTAATTAAGATGTTTTGAGTAACTTTGATATCAGTTAACCATTCTTGTAAAAAAGAAGGGGTTTAGGCAATATCCTCTCACAATAATCTAGTTAGCAATGGTCGTGAAGATTGAAGAAGAAGAAGAAGAATTTGGCTTGAGTTGCATGCGCGTGGGGGTGGATCATGCAACATATATAATGTTTACTTGAGCTTTACAAAATTTTCCTGTGTGTGCGTGACCGTGCATTGTCTTGTGACCTGTGAATGAGTGAGGGAGAGATCTGCAGGTCAGAAGACGCACATGGCTGCTGGGGTCCAAAGGCCAAAAATATTCTGAAAGAGCCTAATTTACATGGGCCCCGTTCACTTCACCGTTCGAGTTTAGAATTCGAGTTTGGCTACAGTAAAAAATTTTAAAAAATAGTCACATTTAATTTTTTTATTATAGTAAAAAGTTTTCACATAAAATCACATCTTAACTCGAATTAAAAATTCAAATCAGCGAACTAAACAGACCCATGATCAATTAGTCTCTTTCAATATGGTCAATTCATAACAAGAAAACGAGGGAAACCCCCCAAAAGCTTCAAAAAAAAAAAAGTTCCATAAAAAGATGTGTAAATTAACCAACCCTACGTACTTCACCAAAAACACAAGTGATCTTAACCGCCGGCAGCACCTCAATTTACCTTTCATTTCGCCATATATACATATGACAAAAGTAATTCCTATTATCCATATATAATATGTTTTTTTTTTCAAATTTAATTATTGTTGGATTGTTTGTAAGATTATTATAGTTAATTATTACTAAGTGTCATGCATGATTAATTAAGTCAAAAATTAGTTACTATCATCACATGTAACATATTTGGACAAATTACACGATTGCCTCTCAAACTTTAGACCGTGTAACAAAATACCCCATGAACTTCAATTTATAATATACGTTCCCTCGAATTAACTTTAAAAATCTTATTAATTTTCCCCTCCTGTTAAATTATGGACGGAAATTAACACGTGGTGCGCACGTGATGCCGATTTTAAGGGTATTTTAGTAAATGCATTAATAAATTTGTTATTGAGGTTCTTTTAACGCTTTTAAGCCCTCATTTTTTCCCCAATTCAATCAAAACCCTAGAACTAAAGAAAGAAACCCAGAGCAAAAAAAAAAAAAAAAAAAAAAAAAAAGAAAAAAAAAAAAAAAAAAAGAAGCGAGAAGATTAGATTTGTCAACACAATATTTCAGACATATGCTTGGCAATCTGATTAAAGAATCAGTTTTTTTTCCTAAAAAAACAAAAACAAAAAAAAAACTACCAAATAAAGAAGGAAACTCTACGGCCTCCTAGAGAAGAATAGATTTGTCAACGCAATATTTCAGACATATGCTTGTCTAAATAAAAGAATTTAATCATCGGCCGCATAAAATCAAACAAAAATTTATAATCCTTGAACCAAATTTCTAACAAAAGGAAGAATTTTCAGAAACCAGAATAAGAAATTTGGGAGAAAAAGATTTTCTTGAAGATGAGAAGGAACTCGGAATATGGGTGGTGATATATCAGGATGGTCGGCAAGGGCTATAGAGCCCATTACAATGAACGAGACCTTTAACAAAAATATATAATCCTTGAACCAAATTTCTAACAAAAGGAAGAATTTTCAGAAACCAGAATAAGAAATTTGGGAGAAAAGAGATTTTCTTTAAGATGAGAAGGAACTCGGAATATGGGTGGTGATATATCAGGATGGTCGGCAAGGGCTATAGAGCCCATTACAATGAACGAGACCTTTTATCACAATAATCATCACCGTCCCCAAATAAATCAATTCCAAACAAACAGATCAGAAACTGAAGAAGACTACTATGGAAGAAATTAGATAAATCTCCAAGTTCAGAGCAGCGAGGAAGAAAGATGAGAGATTTGTCAAAAAAAAAAAAAAAATAACTTAATTCCATATTACTCTAATTTTAAGGGCAATTTTGTAATAGCATGCTTAATACCCTCACTCTTGCTATGAATTCGCGCCTAAGTGTCAATTTCCGTCCATAATTTAACATAAGGGGGAAAATTTGTAAGATTTCTAAAATTCAAGAAAAATGGATGTTACAAATTAAAATTCAAATGACATTTTGTTATACCCTCACTCTTGGTACGAATTCACGCCTAAGTGTCAATTTCCGTCCATAATTTAACGGAAGGGAAAAATTTGTAAGATTTATAAAATTCAAAAGGAACGAATGTTAGAAATTAAAATTCTAAGGACATTTTGTTATACGGCCTAAAGTTAAGAGACAACTTTGTAATTTGTCCAACATATTTTTGGCCCCCGTCCCAATGTTAAGTCTAGTATATATATGATACAAAAAGAGCCTTTGCTTAGTAATCAAATTCCTATATATGACCCCCACAACGCAAGAAGACAACACTATCCAGATTTGCAGTATATATGTTGTCTGGTTTGATTGTGATTTTTCACAGCTGTTTAGTCTCATGGGGACTAATTATATAAATACATAGAACTTGGACAAGTGACTTGGTTTATTGAAAGCCGTCCAAATGCCAACTCTTGTCCAATAAGTTCGTTTTTAGCTGTTAGAATTCTCATGCAAATAGTTTAAAAGTTCTGTAGCTTTTGGATTGATCATATTATTATCAATTATTACTTGGGCCATCTGCAAATCATAGTAGACAACTAAATTTCGTACAGAGCAAACATTTCTGGGTGTCATGAGTCTGGTCGGGAGTGATAAATATTTATGATCTCCAGGTATCATTTAACTTTAATTTCTATCATATGAAGAAAACATTAATTGAAAGAGCTTTTCAACACATAAATGAGATTTTCTTTCTGTCTTAAATTTATAGGGAATTTTCATGGCATCATGAATTCTCTTTTTCACTAGTATAGTAGGGATTGATGTTTCAAATGTTCAATTAAATTTTTAAATATAAGTATTCACGTTAAAAACTTATATCGGCGCATAAACAACTACCCTTATTTATAGATCAAAATATTCAAAAATAATCAAATAGATAAAATAGCAGTTCTTACTGATAATGAGAATCGACATTTTACCATGGATATTCCCTAAAACATGGAAAAGAATACACATGAAAATATTTATTTAAATGCTTTGTATTTTATGGAGGTTGTTTCAAGAGAAGTCATGTAGATTTGGCTTTTTTGGAAGAGCTTTCAAGCATTAAAAAGTTTTTTTTAGTATTTAAACCTCTGAAAATTACTGGTTGAAAGCATAAGGAAGTCAAAGAACATCCTATTTCTCTACTTCATAAGTGCTAAGGGAAATTTTTTTTTTTTTTTAAGTAAATGATGAAAGCGGATAATTGCCTCAAACTAAGTTAAGACATTTCAACTAGATTGACAGCTAGCACCCTCAAACTAGCAAATAAGCACCAAGGAAAATAACTTGGCATATGTAATAAAATTAGACCTAGCTAGCTTCATTAAACGTATAGCTCAATTTCATCATTAATCGAACTATATATGCTAATTGTTTCTTCCCTCTTTGCATAACATAAGCTCTAGCTGGGAAAATCCGAAGAACATTATAAATTAAAGGTCCTACATTTTTTTTTTTGTGTAATACCCAGAATTTTTTAGCTACTAACTTTGACAAGAAATATAAAATTTAATTCATTTTATGATTATTGCAGATTTTTGAAAAGTTAGATCAAATAAGTAATTTCGTTATTATTTTACAGTGCCACTAGATATTTTAAGTTGATATGAGATTAAATTCCGTAGAATTTTATGATTAACTTATACAAGTTGTTAGTTTTATTTATGATAAATGAAGTAAGATGGTAATTAAATTAACATCTTAAGCATGAGACGTAAAGGCCATATAGGAGGTGGCAAGGTTTTAGGAAGTCTACATGTCAGGAGAATAAGTTTTATGCATTCTCTACTTAAACAAGAGGTGTCAACACTAATTTAAAATTAGTGGCAACGCTTTTGAGATGAGTTATATGACTAAGTTTATCTAAGTTTCGTGGCCTATATGTATAATAAGGATTCGCATACAATACAACTAAGCATAGCCTTGGAAGAAAACCGTGAGAAAAAAAAGGAGGAAAAGAACAAAAAAAAATAGAGAGAGAGAAACAAAGGGTACGTTTGGAATCCGTTCAAAAATAATTTTGTTTTCTGCATGAAAATGGAAATGAAAACATTTTCATTTTCATGTAGGAATCATTTCTGAAATGTGTTTGGTAATTTATTCAGAAATTGTTTTCAGTATAAGAAAAAACTGAAAATGCGTTTGGTTTTACATTTTTAAAAACATGTAATAGTATTTAAAATAATATATTAAATAATTAATAAACTCCTCAATCAATACATTAATAATTAATATAATATATACGACACAAATCCAACAAAATGACCAATCCCCCATACACTCCAGCCATAGATTCTCAAGATGACAAACGACACAAATCTAACAAAACGACACAAATCCAACAAAATGACCTTTTGCAGCCTCATTCCTCTCGTTCCCCTCCCGCCGTTGTCACAGCACCTCTCCCTCACCCACTTCACCCTCTCCCTCCTCCGCCGCCGCCGACCCATCCTTCTTCTCCACCACATCCGTCCTCATCAACAGCTCCACCGCCCTTAGAACGATGGAGACCGAAGATGAGGGAGACCGGGAGGAGTAGAGGAAAGAAAGTTAAAATGAAAATGGGAAAACGAGACCAAGGAAGAGATTGACACAGAGAAAATTGAAAATGAGAAAATGAGAAAATGAAAATGGACCTAAATCGTTTTCAGAATTTCTGCATTTTTAGGAGAGGGTAAGCAAACGTTTTCATTTTTATTTTTTGTACGATGCGGCACCAAATGATGTCCTCAAATCATTTTCATTTTTTGGTCCTCGAAAAACGTAAAAAGCGCTTTTGAAAACAGAAACAAACACCCCAAAGAGTAGTTTTCCCTCTTAAGCAGCTTAATCGTAAGTAAACTTTCAACTGCATCACTTAAATAGTAGTATATTTTTAATGAAAGTTTTCAATTTATACATGTTATTGTTGACATGTTTTCATGAGATTTGAAAAGTATTTCTGAACTGTTTGAAATATGATGAAGGGCCAAATCTTAGAGGAATAAGAGATTCCATGACAGGGATCAGATGAAAGAGGTTCTAATAACACAAGATTAATATTATACAAGAGGGTCCTAAATGTTAAAGAAAAGTATTTGAAAGTAGAAATTATTTATAGTTTACTTACTGAGTTTGCGCCCATATAGTTCTCATGATAATGGTAAATGCTAAAATAGAAGTTCCAGTTGACTGAGCAAGAATGGTTTAAGGTCCCATGACAAATTAAAAGATCTTAAAAAATGAAATTTGTAATCCTAAGAATTTGTTGGAAGGATTGTTTCAATAATTGACATTATATATATTTTTATTTTATTTTGTGATTTTATTTATTCTAGCTAAGTTAACGTTTCTCGCGAGTTAGTAGATCTTAGAGCTGCTAACTAGGGAGGGGTGTTGTGTGTAGATACTAATAAGAAGCATATTTCTAATTCATAAGTACGTTGAAAGCCATGCTAATAATAAGTATAAAAGTTAATATTTGACCAAAAATTTGTATCTAATATTATGCTAATTAGTATGGCTTTTTATTAATAAGCATAAAATTTATTAAAAAAATAAAAGAAAAAGAACTTACAAAAGGAAAGTACTAAAAGGCCAAAAAGAATTATGCTAAATTTGGCTTTATTATTTTTTTATTTTATTTTATTTGAACACAAAAAAATAATGTGCAAAATAGAGATCATTTCAACTCTTTTTTTGGCCAAAAATAGCATATTAATATTTGCAATTGCATTTGCATTTAAGTGGCCTAGCTCGCTGTCTTTGTCTTCTCCGGATTTAAAAGTTTCTTAATTAGCTATTCGATCGCTTTTTGAGTATAGAAATGGAAAACAACTAAAAGAAGCATTAACTAGCTTGTCATTACATAAATTAGCAAAAAATTACTTAATTTGCTCATTGAGCTTGTGCCGGCTGATATCTGCTCATATAAAATTCTTAAACATTATCATTACCATTTGGTTGGGGAGTACTAGCTAGAGACAAGGGAAACAAGTGCAGTGAATGCATTTTTCCAAATCTAGCGGAATATATATATATATATATATATATATATCCTCTCCAGTCTGGTACCGGACTGGAGAGACGTGGGTGCGTTTGGTTTATAGATTAAAATCATGTGATTAGAATCATTTTTAATTTATATGTATTTTTTATAAAAAAAATACTGTAACGAATTATAAACTATGATTCAAATCATGAAACAAACCTATCTACCAAACATCACCGCTATATTATTTTTGTTAGTTTACTTGTGGAGTGCAACGTGTTGTAAAAGCATAAAAAGTGACAGCAAGGCTGTTAGTTGTTTAGTAATTACTAGAGATGCTGTCAGGATTATCACATGTTAGAAAATACTATCTTATTCTATCAAGGGGCTAAATTGTTATCCTCTCCAGTCTGGTACCGGACTGGAGAGACGTGGGTGCGTTTGGTTTATAGATTAAAATCATGTGATTAGAATCATTTTTAATTTATATGTATTTTTTATAAAAAAAAATACTGTAACAAATTATAAACTATGATTCAAATCATGAAACAAACCTATCTACCAAACATCACCGCTATATTATTTTTGTTAGTTTACTTGTGGAGTGCAACGTGTTGTAAAAGCATAAAAAGTGACAGCAAGGCTGTTAGTTGTTTAGTAATTACTAGAGATGCTGTCAGGATTATCACATGTTAGAAAATACTATCTTATTCTATCAAGGGGCTAAATTGTAAAATGCCATAAGTTAAAACATATGTAAACGTACGAATGGATTTGCAAAGCCGAATAAAAACGACAATGTATATTGGTTGTCCAAAACATGTATATCCATTAGAGATAAGTGAATAATTGACGTAGTAGTGCGTACAATGTGTAAGGAAGTTGTTGTTCAATAAATCTAAATGTATTGTCGTTTGTGTTGATACTCAAAAAAACATGTTAACATAAATTTAAAATGCATGCTTTATGGTTACTAGAATTTCAGAGTATTTCCGTTTCCTAAGAAGCAGGTATTAGAAATAAGAGCAAGAAAATAAGAAGGGTGAAAACGTATGACTAACAAAATAAGAAATTCTAGGAGGTATGGAGGAAGAAATTAGTAATTTAAGAAGTCAATTCTTGAACCTTGACGAGGTAAAATAAGAAAAATTGAAATAGATGGGTCAACTAGGATAGTACAAAATGAATTGCATAGTATAAAATTAGAAGTCGATGATGTACATAACTACATGAAAATGCATGATATTGCTTCCCTTGAAGAGGTCCTGGTGTAATGCATGATATTGGCTTGATATTCCCTTAAATAACTACCTGCACTTGTTTGGACATTAACATAAGCTTAGAAAATGAATAATAGATTATCGTAAGAAAAGGACGTGACAGTCAAACTATATGTAACGACGCATATGAATTTTAGATCATTGATGACAATATTTAAGGAGCAATATGGAACGTAAGTGAGAATAAAGTTGAAGTGTTTAAACAAATAAAAGAACTCTTTTATACGGAATGCTTAATACCGACAAAACATATACATCTTACATAGTTGGATGTATGTTATTTGCCTTTTGGAGGAGAAGCATTCTACTTTTGGATGTGGTAATTCGATGAATCGGCTTGTTGTCCGAAAGAGATAGAAAATCCCTCATGTTTAGAGTTGAATTGTGGCCAGTAGCACCATTGGGAGGAGTATATATTGTCTGAAGACATTTGTTCCAGGTGTTTTATGTCGTTGTTCCCTTCTGAACAAGTCTCATTGGTTTTGACATTGTCTTCTTTTTAATGGACACGTTTGTTTGTTGTGACCATGACCCTTACACATGGCACACTTCTTTCTTAATCTTTTCAAACCAAATTCTTTCTGAGCGCTCAACACTACTTGTGGACGCCTTGTTGTTCCCTTATTTCGGACAACTAAAGGATCTCTTAGTACTTCAAACGGATTGACTTCATCAATGGACTGTTGTTGGCTCGCATTAGGTGGCTCTCTTTCCATCAAGCTCTTAAATTTTAAACATAAATTTGCAAGTTCTGTTCTTGTTTCTTAATAGAAATCTTCCATTTTTATGGCATAGTATGCTACTTGGTTGAAGTCGGAGTTGAGTGTTCTGAACCTAGTTAGTTCCAAAATCTCCTGTAGGACCTTGTTATGAGTTTGATATCATGTTTGGAATTGTGCCTTTGCATGAACAGCCCACCATGACATAACAAGCGAATTTGGAATCCATATTATATTTAGAAACTTCAACATTGAAAAAATGGGTCGTCACAGATAACTATCAGTTTTGAAGAGTAAGCAATTGCACTTTAGATGACCGTCAAAGATGCGAAGTACAATGTTGTGCTCTGAGTCTCCGTTTGGGATGAGAAATTTTTATAGTCGTCGATCTCATCAACTTGTGTAACAGTGTATGCATGTATGAGCTTTAATTCCTGAGAGACCTTTCTTGTATAAATTCTTCTAGTGAACATAGCGGCAGCATGTTGATAGTATGGTTTGAGAATATCTGCACGTGGCAAAGAAGGTGTACTATGTCGTGTGGAGAAGTCATCTTGCAAATTTTTTTGGCGCAGCTTGTTAATGGCGTAGTCTACCAATGATACAAAATCTGTGAGAGACATCGTACTTTTTAGGAATTGTCTGATTGTTCTATTCATTAACACGCTACATTGGGTGGTTTGCATGCCTGCACAAAACTTGCCACGCAAATAAGTTTCGGCCCAACTTTCCCTTTTCTGAAATATGCAATTTGCCCAGTAGTTGTTCTCCAGTTCGTATGCCAGAATTAAAGATTGCCACCTATCGAGGATCTCAGTGTCAGAATAGTAGCCGTACATAATTTCTTTGAAGTCTCGCTTGAAGTTTATATCCTTCACATTGTTGCCTGCATTCTCCATTAGATGTCATCCGCATAGTCTATGCTTTGATTCAGGGAAAACTTGTGCTATGGCATTCTTCATGGCATTGTCACTGTCGGCAACAACAACTTTTGGCATCTTATTATTTATTCCTTGAAGAAACATTTGTAAAACCCAGACAAAGATATCCACTGTCTAGTAGGCAATGAGAGCAATGCCAAAAACTGTTGTCATAACAATTTATTAGTATGTCACCAGGCAAGTGTTGTATTGGGCTACTTTTACGTGGATCAATTAACGAACAATTTTATTGCATATGCATACAAAAGTATAACTAAATATGATTACGGAAAGATCATTTACCAAATCAGGGTAATTCATACATCTAAGTATCCCAACTAGTTGATAAATACGCCACATAGATGTAGTCACCATGGAGTGTCGGCAAAAAAAAATAAATAAATAAAACGTAAAAAGTAAAAATTAAACTCATCTTAAGTATAACAACGTAAAAGTAATTTAATACACGTTTCTGTGGAATTATTATGACGTATTTGCATAAAGTATCGGTTCAGTAAAATAGATTCAAAGGAGATAAAATTGTAGAACTATAACACTTTGGGTCACTCTGTTCGATGAAAGAGCTGGCAGTGTAATATTTCTTTTTACTGTATCCGGGTATTGTGTATGGGCGCCATTGACCCGTGGGAAACAACCACGTTTGGTAAAAAAATTTATACCATGATTTAAATTATAGTTTATAGTTTATTATAATATTTTTTTTATAAAAAATACACATAAATTAAAAATAATTATAATCTTATAATTTTAATTCATGAATCAAACGTCTCTTATACGTTTAGTTAGTGAATTCATATCATGATTCGATCGGATCATAATTTATTATTCATTATAGTATTTTTTTTTTATAAAAAATACACATAATTTAAAAATAATTATGAATCATGATTTTAAATCTATAAACTAAACGTTAACTGCCCCTCTCATCACCGGTTTGCCAAAAACTTCTCTCTTTAAATCAAGGCCATCAAACTCATATCCGAAGGTCGTAGTTCATTGTTTTGACCGGTCAGGCATTAGAGGAAGTGTCTGACCGAGACAATTCATATATATATATATAACGTATATATGAACGTGCTTGTAGGATAATAATGAAGAAAATAGGTTATGAGTACATCTAATAGAATATCATCATTTTATAATCTCATGATTTTAATTCATGAATCAAACGTCTCTTATACGTTTAGTTAGTGAATTCGTATCACGATTCGATCGGATCATAATTCATTATTCATTATAGTATTTTTTTTTCATAAAAAATACACATAATTTAAAAATAATTATAAATCATAATTTTAAATCTATAAACTAAACGTTAACTGCCCCTCTCATCACCACTCTCATCACCAGTTTGCCAAAAACTTCTCTCTTCAAATCAAGGCCATCAAACTCATATCCGAAGGTCGTAGTTCATTGTTTTGACCGGTCAGGCATTAGAGGAAGTGTCTGACCGAGACAATTCATATATATATATATAACGTATATATGAACGTGCTTGTAGGATAATAATGAAGAAAATAGGTTATGAGTACATCTAATAGAATATCATCATTCAGGTGATGAGATTCTAAAGAAAAAGCTACTGATAGAAACTGCTTTTTGGTGTAGTCAAATTTTGGCTTAGATCTATCTATCTATATATATGTGTATATATTTATATATATATATAATATGCTAGGAGAATATTTAACAACTTATTATAAAAAAACTTAAGGAATTGTATGTAAGTACCATATAGAAGTCAAATGTTTTGAGCAATTCCACTATTTTTTTTTTCACCTTTGTAGTACTCTTTTGAATCTGAGTTATAAAAATAAAGTCCTTGAAGATGCTTCCAAGAATCAGCAATGATAATGTCGAGCAATCATGAAGTTGTGCATAATTTGTTGGATTTTCTCGAGAATGTGTGAGGGACATATTCAACTGCCTTTTCCTCATCTCATGCGTTGTAAATCAACATGTGATTGTGTCTGAGGAAAAGCCAGTCCAGGATTTTTGTATCTACTTGTAATTTCACTTTCTCGTTTTTGTTCCATTGAGAAAACGGTCGATCATACCCGGAACATTTGCAAAGTTTTTGTGGTGGAAAATTCACTAGGGTTCTAGCATACTTGAAACCCTAAGCTAGCTGATGTAATTTCAACCTTTCAGAATCATAATATTGAACTTCGTCTCTTGCATGTTTTATATATATCTTCACGTGAAAAGTAATTTTCCGAATATTAAGTAATCATTACAATCATGTGTATGTCAAACAATATTCATCATTTTGAAATGTGAATCACTGAAAAGCACATCCTAAACTATTGGATGCCTCCGTCGTTTTAAACTACATTCATATATATATATATATATATATATGTATGTATGTATGTATGTATGAAGGTGTAAATATGATAATATGATTATATGATTAACTTTAATTCAACCACACGTAATCTGTTGAGTGCATTTGTCTGAGGAAAACGCCTTGCAAACTTGTCCATTATTGTTATATATGAATGCCTGTTTTTTAATGGGTATATAAATCATTATTTTTACGTTTTCATATTCCAGGAGAAGAAATAACTCCGATTGTTTGCGTCCTCAAAATCAGCACCATGGTAATGTCTGAAGTTTTCTTATTAGCATTAATATACTGAACTGTATAAGAGGGGCCAACATATATATATATATATATAATAGAGAAATGTACATAATTTATTATGATTTTGTGTATTATTCTAAATAGAGTGATATAAATAATATTTTTCGATCATATGTAGCATTTTTCATTTATTTTTCTATGCATATATATATATATATGTGTGTGTCCGATTTGAGAAATTATAATATGGATTTACATTGGACAACTGACCGAGATTGGCGGTCATGTACTGGTTGGGAAGCAACCTCTCAATAATCAATTGATCACCATGTATATTAATTTGATTTTCCTAAGTTTTATTAGGCTATCATGAGCAATATTACAAAGGATGTCGTGTGATGTGAACCGCTACTCGACATAATTTGCTAGTATTCCGGAACTTGAGAGTACTACTGCCAGGCAAAACAATTTGAGCATGCAGCTTTTCAATATTCTACGTACATAATTAGGTAGCTTTTGGATTGAGTTCATCATATTTGTTGCTTGTGTTGGAAGGGTATTTTTTATATTAAAAAAAAAACATGCTGTAAAAGTATGACCGGTTACAATGCTGGTAATGATTGGATTATTTGTAGTGAACAGAGTATGAACTCTCGAATTAATATGAGAATTTGACGTCTAATTATTTTATAAATTTCCTTAATTTGAGAGGGAGAATAAGACTCAATTTTTAATACAAAGCCTTGTAGCAAATTACACAAGATTCCAGTTTTAGTCGTTTTGTTAATTTCTTTTTCCTTTTTTGTGTTTCTTTAAGTTCTGCTTAACGTTCTTGACTAATTTGCTTGCTTGATCTTAATCTCTTGTTCAAGAACGTTGACTTAGGGTGGGATGAAAATTTTCAAACAGCTTGTCTTGTACGTATTTAGGTTTACCTTCAACAAGACCGTTGTTTTTGTGCAAATCATGGACGTTTGATTTATGGATTCAGAACCATTCTCATTTTACGTGTGTTTTTTATGAGAGAAAACATTATAAATGTTGGGATTTGTTTCCCAATTTGTGTATTGATTGTAATCGGATTTGATTGGCATTATTTTGGGAATGTTTTACTGGGATGATTGCATTTGGAAATGTCTATGCAGCTGGCAAGTTTCTTTTGGCAGGTTTCAAAAAATCTAGAAACTTATTTTAGTTTCTATTTTTCTAAGTCAACCATTGATTCAAAGATGGAAAATTGATTTGATTGATTCTTGATTGAGATTTTATAGCTGGATGATCTTCCTATGTTGCCTAAGAATGTGTCCAGGTTCGTTTATCAGTTTTTGGAAGATTTCAGAATTAAAGAAGATTGATTCGTCTGGTTTTAAAAAAGTTGGCCGTAACAGCTATGTTGCAGTGTAGTTGCAACAAGATCTGCAACATATGTGGTTCAGCGAATTAATTGAAGATGTGTCAAGCTATTCACAGCTTGCTTATTTGTTGAAAGTGTTCCTTA